TCTCCAAATTCGAATTTTATGTAAACCATTTCCAATTGGAGTAACAATAATATGAGCAGCATTAAATTGGGATGTAATTGTATGTGGATTATAATCACCAGATTCATTCCAAACGATATGAACATAATCATTTCCAACATGCCGTTTTTTAGTTAATTGTTGTTGGTCATCTGCTTGTGTTGGTATTAAAGTAATATCATGAAAAATAACTTCTTTTGTTGCATCGGCATAATACCTAATATATTCTCCAGTTGACAAATAAGTTTTATCTAATCCTCCTAAAAATCCTGAATGAGTTTTAATATCTAAAGTCCATCCTAATCCTTCAACAAATTCTTTATATGCGGGTGATCCTTCTTGATTCATAAGAATATCGTATTGATCATGTTGACCATTTTTAACATAAATAAGTCCAATTTTATGGAATGGTCTAACGCATGACTTGTCTAAATTTCCTAATAAAATCTTAAACTTTTCTGTTGGATTAATAGGAATTAACGAAATATTATTTTTTGGCATTGGGTCAATAAATTGTGTTTGACATAATAAAGAATGAATCAACAATTTGGTATTATCAATTGGTTGATTGTTAAGATTAATAACATTCTTATTTGGTGAAATCATATTTATTCCAAGTTCTTTAATTTGTTTCTCTACGTTATCTACAGAATCTTTTACAAAACTTAAGTCTTTATCGTAGTCTGTACGTTCTACTCCATCAGGCATTCCCCATTCTAACAAGTCATTTTCTTCTTTAAGAATTTCATTAATCATATTTCTAAGTTTATTTTCTCCTTCACAAATTATTCTTTCATTAACTACTTGTTTTGGAGCAGTTTGAACAATATCTTTTACTGTTAATCGTGTTTTTTGTTTTGTATTTTTAATACCTAATTCTTCAAGAAGAGAAATTGATTTTACTCCCCAAACTGTTTTACCTACAGCATTTCGTATAACTAGATTACAAAATTCTCCTTCAGTACCTTTTTCTATTGATAAAATATTATTTCCATATGCCCACCATGTTACTTCTCCTTCTTCAATATGAGTAGAGAAGAACTTATCACTTCCTTTTTCACTTGGAACAAATCCAAATGCATTTAACAATGTTTGTAAAAATACTTCAGCACATTCTGGTGCACAAGCCCGATACTTAATATTAGGATCATTACTTTTAACAGAATATGGTAAAGACATTGAGTATGAAATTGAATTTAACAAATTAACTGTAAGTTCTGGTGTTAATGCTTTAGGGAATATACATGAAGGAGAGAATGCCCAATCTATTAATGAAGTAAATATACAAGCAATTGCTTCAGTTTTTGATTGGGGATTTAATATAACTTCAATTAGTTGTGATAAAAGATCTTGAACATCAGAAATAGTGAAATATTCTGTAAATGATGCTAATTCACCAATAACCTCAGCTGCAGGTCTAAAAAGTTCTTCATTTTCATTTGAAATTCTTTCAATAATAGATGTAAGAATTGGGTTAATAGAAATTTCCATACTATTTCTTCTTGAGAATATAATATGAGTAGCCATTCCATATACCAAACTTACTTGTGACTTAGTTGATGTAAAAACTTTTAAAAGATTTTTAAAACAATTTGTAATGGCATCTGAATAACTTACTGTAAGAGATTCTTCTTTATTATATTTTGAAATGTCTTGAAGTAATGTTGGATAATTTTCTTCTACTGTCACTAATGAATTTAATAATGCTATAATTTGAGCATCTCGATTAGCATTATTTGTTTCTTGAAGTTGTTCTTTTTTTAATGATGATATTTGTTGAATAAATGGAATTAACAATGCAGGCCATCCTGGTATTTGATTAGAAATAATATCATACAATTCTTCTAATATTATAGAAGGCATCATTGGTAAACCAATAGATATAGATTCATAGAATAAACTATACAATTCATTTTAAAT